ACGGACAACAGGAACGCCACTGACATCGGTTGGCAGCCATATCTTGTAGTGTCTCCAACCAGGCCACTCTTCAACGGGGCATTCACCAGATGTATCGCACAACACTTCATTTATCCTCCCCAATTCTTGTCTCGAGCGCTCTCTAAGACATGTTGTTCCTCAGATGGTATTTGTTTTCTTCGGTATCTTTATTTGTCTGCTGGGTTTTAGTTCCTGGCATGTGCCCACGAACCTCTTTGATTGCGACAACCCAGACACGCAACTGAACGAGTTCCACAGAATTCGCTACGCCTCTCATGCCTTGGGTGTTTTTCTACCATCAGCTTCTGATACTGATTGAGTTCTACTTTTAAGATATACTGATCTGATCTACTAACGCCCTATTATCTGCGCCTTTTTTCGCTTTTGTGACTACCACGGAACGTGCAACAGCGCGGACCAACTCACATCAATTTTGATTCATTAGATTTCTTTTGGTAGCCTTGGAACACATCAGCTGTATGGTTATTATTCATTTGAGCCGCTTGCTTATTTTTGTCCCTTTCCTCTGCACGTTCACTTCGATGAGAGCAGGACACATTCCATTTTGAATGCTTTTAGTACCACACACACACAAATTGATTCTCAATATCTTTCTCCACAGACGCACGTTTTATGGTAATCAAAGTACACGGTTAGACCGACCGTTGAAACAAACCAGTTTGGCGCACCAGACTTCACAGCATTAAGATTTCAACCGCTTCACACACACAAAATTGATTCTCAATATCTTTCTCCACAGACGCACGTTTTATGGTAATCAAAGTACACGGTTAGACCGACCGTTGAAACAAACCAGTTTGGCGCACCAGACTTCACAGCATTAAGATTTCAACCGCTTCATATGAAGCCTACATGTGGAAATTTCATCCTTCACGTGTACCAGATACTCTAGCCCTAAAAACCGCGAACACTGTTGTTCCACTGGTTGGCAGAGACCACCGATAAATCATTCAGTCTTCGGTTGTGCAAACCGCCAAACAGTGAGTGTTGATGTCGCCCCGGTTAAAAATTCTAGGGCAAGCTGTGTGATACCTTTGTTACGTAACGCGGCACGGGTCGCTTTGTGAGTCCTCAGCAGTGGTGACTCGATGTTGGCCGTAATTTCAGCCTCCAGTCGGCGGTGCTCGGGTTGCCACTGATTCTCAACAGCAATGAAACATTATTTGGATTGCTGTTGTTAACCGATAAAGTGTAATCTGGGGTTACACCTTTTTGGTTCTCAGTGCATAGACGTGAAGCCTCAGATGCTCAACTCGCGCCCTGTTATTGGTTCCATTGGCGAGTTCCGTAGGCCGGTTGGAAACTAGTTTGTCGCTCCGCCAGGATTGATGCAGATTTTTGGTTGTTCCATCAGACGACAACACACTTCTAGTCAGTATTTGTTTGGAAATTTCATCCTTCACGTGTACCAGATACTCTAGCCCTAAAAACCGCGAACACTGTTGTTCCACTGGTTGGCAGAGACCACCGATAAATCATTCAGTACGATCAAAATCCAACTAAATCATGCACTGAGACAGGTGGGGGCTTTCGCACTGCAACTCAGTCTTTCCGATTTGTTTAACTTTCAGAACCCTAGCCGTTGCTGTATATCTAAACTCCGGCTTAGTAAAATAAACCGGAATTAGTCTTCACCAGATTCACTGGGTTTGTTCTATGTTGCTCGTGTCAAATTTGACAAGAGGACTCTTTTGCTCAGACCTTTTTCGGTCACCGAAACGCACATCGATACGTTGATACACCACAGATCGATCGGTACTAACTCATACTTCCCGCTTCACATTACTTATCGGTCGTTTGGTGATCCTAATTTAGTAGCTACTGGTATCTACGGTTTGGGATTGAATGCACTTTCCAGTGAATGTTCGCCTCTGCGCTCTTCGGTCGATTGGCCAGTTAAGATCAATGCATCCCGACGCGGAAAACCTTGTTCATTTTTCGTGTTAACAGACGGCGGCTGTAAGGCTGAGAAAAGGCGCTTCTACCGAGATCCGGTACGGCTGCTTCAGTCAGCAAAAAGATAGGAATATCGTGAATCTGGTGGGCAAGATGGCTCAAGTGATTACAGCGCGAATTTACTGACCGGAAGGTACGTGGTTCGAACCCGACCTCTGCCTCTCGACTTCCCCTGTCTGGGCTTGGGCAACCTGGCAGTATCCCAGCCCTCGTGCAAACTTCGGGTGGGCACCAAAGGATGCTACAGCTGAACGATTATGAGTTTTTTATATACATGCCCGGGTCGGCCGATCCTGGTCGTCCGTACACATCGATTGTTGGCATTTTCAATGGAGGTTTCGGTCGGTGAGTGAAGCCAATCTATGCTGAAAAGTCAAGAAGCGCTGCACAACTGTTTCATTCTCATTGCGACTCATCAGCAGTGCGCGTTTCATAGGACTATCGGGTTTTTGGAGGTCGCGAGTTCGAGACTTTAGCCTAGTCAGGACAGAGAAAGCACCATGTTGCTTCGTTGCCACGTGACACATACGTACATATCTGCACAAAGTGTATTTGAAAAGCCCACCATGATGTTTGTGTGTGCTTGCGTATCCATAGTATTTGTCCTGCATATATAATGCTTATCAGTTACACGTTTCTCTTCTCTCGATCATCACCTAGTATTGTGTGGTCTACGCGTCAGCCAGATGGCTCGAACCTATGAAGATTTGGAAGCGATTACACACTTGTTGGAAGAGGTGAGTACTGCTCATATCTTCGGTCCATTCACATTGTTCGAGCCTGTGTCCATGAGTTTTCTGTTGTACGCATGATAGTCCACCAACGGCGCGAGATGGCTCAGTGGTTAGAGCGCCAATTTACTGACCAGAAGGTTCGTGGTTCGAACCCGACCTCTGTCTAGGCTTGGAAGTATCCCAGCCCTCATGCTTCCTTCGAGTGGCTTAGCAGCTAGGCACCAACATGGTGTTGTAGCTGAACGATTATTTATTTATCAACGGTGGGTCAGAGATCCGTTGACAGCTGTCTGAAAACATCAATTTAGCACAATTCGTACTCATATCTAATCAGCGTGCCATCTCTCATTTTGGTTTTGTTGTCTAATGCGTATCTTGTCCGAAAGAATTTTTCAAATTGGGGATTCCAGAGCGCACCCCAGATTAGCACGTATTGACGCAATTTATCGCCCTCATATCACGTCAATGAGCCTTGGGACATCAATAGTTCAGCCATACAATTTTTGACTCCAACTTTTAGTCTTACTTTTTGGTTGTCCAACACGTCTTTAACCGGAGAGTACCCCAGTTTAATATTATATATATGATATTATATGTATATATTACCTCCCACACATGTGTGATCACACAAGCAGATGGACGTTTTTCAAAAGCAACAAATTACTCAATATTTATTGGGGAATCGCACTGGTTAATTCCAGTCTATCGTTGATCGGGTATCCGGTCTCAGATAGGGTTGTGAAACCCGATTCTTCAGTGGATTTTACAAACGTGACTGAAAACGTTGGAGCAGGAAATACTTTCAAAGTTGTGACAAATCACGTTTAAAAGACTCGCTACTGCCCAGGAGTTTAAGGTGAACAAAAGTCAAAACTGTCCATTTCGGCTGCTCGCCCGTTCGTTCAACTCTATGTTCCAGTCGCATAAGTCCGAAAATATTCCTACAGAAGTAGTGGAACGTGTACACAAGTAGTGCAACGTCACTGTGCCTCTTCAACGGAGGTCACTGTGAGAAAATGAAGTATTCCACCACATCTTGGAGTTTTATTCCCCAGGAGTCACATTCCAACTCGTGGATGGACAGGTTTTTGAACTCTCTTTCCGAGGGGGTTGCTTTTTTTAGAGTTTCACCACGAATACATGTGGATTTTGCCGGCAAAATCCAATTCTCTAATCCACACCTCTTAGAACGAATGGTTCCTACTCATTCCTTTCCCCTGCATTTATCCTCGTTCAGAAACAAAATGACCTTGAACCATTCCTTTTCCCGCGTCTCTCCTCGTTCAGAAACAAAATGACCTTGAACTGGCAGCGAAAATTGGCAAAAATCTTTTGGACAAAAACAATGAACTGGAACGACGACTTTCTGATACCGAGAGGAGGCTCACCGCGTCCGAGGATACAGTGAGTATCTTGTTTTTTTTCGTAGGTGCCTGTGGTTCTTTGTGGCGGTTGAGGGTTACCTTCTTTTGTGACCCAGTGGAAACTTTGTTGAACTCCCCCAGCGACACGGCGCTGACGCTAACAATCTGGTTTAGGGTTCACTCTCCGATTGACGTCGGCGATGCGCTTCTGGTCCTGTTGTTCAATCTCTAAATTGTACGCACTCAGTTGACCTAGGTACGATAATATCAGTCGAACACCACCTCATGTCGAACTTCAACAGTGCTTTGTCATCCTGACATCGTGAGTCGAGCCAGCATGCTTTTTCACCCGTCAACATTCGTCTTGGACAGATCTGTTCCCTTCCTGGACAGAGATTTTCAGTTTTTCAACCCGTCGTCAGTACGCTACTGTGATTTTTCTTAGTTTTGGACGGTGTCTGCTTTTGCTTCGATTGGCAGCCTCTGAGTGGGTAGTTCTTCCCACCGTGTGCTGTTAGGATGAAAGCTGTTCTATGTTTTCAACCATCTTCTAGGCAGCCGGCAAGTCGGACAGCCTTGCAACTTACGACTGCCACCTTTTGTCTCCTCGGTCAATCGCGACCTTGAGTCAGTTCACTTGCATCGTCCTTATCGAAGGCCCGAAATCCCGAATCCGGAACCAAGTAATGCGTACTCCATATGGTCAAACACAACATGTGTAAGGATTGCACAATACATCCTCACCTCACGTGCTTGGTTAACGAACTGAATTCCGGTCAGGCGCATTGTTGATCACAGTTTCGATCGATGAGCCCGCGTAGAGACGAGCGCAACACCATCGGTTCATTAAACCATTTCCTCTTGCTGAATGGTTGTTTAGTCCCCACCCCCGCCTTCTTAACTGAGTGTATTTATTGAAGGAACGTATTCCAAGATCTCCGACAGTTTTCCAGTGAGCTTCGGGCTAATCTCATTTTGTTGTGAACCTGACAAAGTGTTTTTAGTCGCCATTCTTTGTCCTCGAAAACAAACAGTGTACCTTGCTGTCAGATGCTCTTGGAGATCACTTTTAACGGGAAAACTAACATGGTCCAAAATTCATTTTTCGAAACGAGATCGCTTCCGAGAATAATTTTGGCCGGTCCTGTGGGTACATGCTCTGGACGAGACGATAATTTTGAACATCTGTTGAGTACGCAGATGACATAGCTCTTCTAGGATGTGATCCCGTGGTAATGCAAACAATACTAAATAATCTAAATAATTCTGCCTCGCGGTTTGGTATGCGCTTCACACCTGCAAA